ATATGACCTTTATGGTGTTGAGTTAGTTTCCTTCTATCCCTAGCTTTAGTATTTTTAAAATTTATTTATTTATCCATATAGGGGTATAGGCCAAAGGTGTAGGGGGGTGAGAGGATTCACCAGAGATAGAGTGGGGACAACAGGTGGATCTACTGAAATACAGTGCTGAGAGGAGCAGCAGGGAGACAGGAGAGGTCTGCTGTCAGCTCCCTGAAGGGGAATTGAATTCATGCTGCAATGGCTGCTGACAGCTTCATAGTGTATAGCTTAACTTCTTATGCCACCAGGGAGGTTCCAGTTTTTAGTATTTTTGTCATGAAATGATGCTGAATTTTTACTGTCAATCCCCTTAATAGTTATGGGTCTATTCACTTTTTTTTCCTATTTCCTCATGATTAACCATAGCAAGTTCTGTGTTTTAGAAATTTACTTCATGTAAGTCATCAAATTTGTTGGTACACAATTACTCATAATATTCTTAATATTCTTATAATCCTTATTAAATTTTTATAAGATTATTAACAATTTCCCCACTTGCACTTCTGATTTTAGTAATTTGAATCTGTAGTAATGTGAATCTCCTCTTTAGTTAATACAACTGAAGATTTAATAATTTGGTCATCTTTTATGAAGAACAAGCTTTAATTTCATTGATTTTTCTCTATTGTTCTATCCTCTATTCTATTTACTTTCATTCTAATCTTCAATATTTCACTCCTCCCGTCAATTTTGGATTTGGTTTAGTCCCTTCTTCTTAATCTTAAGCTGTAAATTTAGACTGTTGATTTGAGATCTTTCTCTTTTTTTAAGGTAAGTATAGTACAGATTTTTTGCACGTGATTTCGCTGAGCCTTATGTTCCTCAATTAAAAAACAATAAGCTTCATGGCACTGTTTTAAAGGCTTAATGCAGTAATCAATTAAACCCTTAGCAAAATGCCATACACAGGAGAAATATTCCATACAGGTTAGATGTTATTATCACTGGCCTCTATGAAGTCAGATAGCCTTAGAGGCAAATCCTAGATGCACCCTTACTAACTATATAGCTTCGGGTAAATTTTTCATTACTCTTAAGATTCATCTGTAAAATGGAAACAATGGGGCTGTTTCCATCTAACAAGGTTTTTATGTGAATCAAATGACATACACGTAAAATACTTAGCAGAGTCTGTCACATAGTAAGTAACTCATCGCAGTAGCTAATATTAGTAATCAGTCTGAATTTGGTTAGTAAGAGCAACAGAAATTAAAAAAAAATGCTGAAGGTATTATGTATTTGGGGGTGGAGGAGAAGTGTAACAAACCAACCTACTGGGACATTGTTACTGATACTATGGTAGAGGAAAACAGAAAGGACCTGAGTGAAAATTTGACACCAGGTATGTTAGTTTTCATCCCCCAGGATGGCATTAGACATACAAGATCTATTTCTAGGGGGAAATGCCAGTGAGAGAGTGTGGGGCAGGAGCAGAGAGAGCCTGGAAGAATCCTCAGATCACAGTGCATATCTGATCCCCGTGACTGAGAAAGAAAAAGAGGCTACAGCTTGTAGTACAGTCCTAACAGCTGTCCAGCAGGAGAATTTTGAGCAGAAGCTAAAGGCTACTTGCAGAATTTTGACTGCCTTCATTTCCCTGCTTGAACCTGTATTCCTTGAAGAAACAAGTACAGACTAGTTCATGATCAGAGATATTTCCCAGGGCACCCCTGCTGTAAAATAATGCCACCTTCCTTCATTCATTCTTCTCCCTTAGCTGTGGTAAGTGTGGTTTCTGCGCACAGGAGGTAGTGGATTCAGAGTGCACTATCAATCAAGTCCCCACCGCACAAACCTGAGGCGCGTGCATTCATGGCTGCCATGCCCACTGCACAGGAAAACTGCAACCATGAAATGGTGGAAAGCTATAACATACCAAATAGCTCTCAGACTTCTCATATTTTCAAGGCCAGGGTGGAATGAGGCAAGCCTGATCACCAACCTAGAAATGCAGTGAGAGAGAAGGAGGAAAACACTGCAAGGAACTAGTCAGTTGCTCACTTCACAGCAACCTTGCCCCACAGAAAATACAGAACAAGTAAGAGACATTACCTAGGGCACCTGCACTGTCAAATGATGGCACTTTCATTCATCCTTCTCTCTTCTTTCCAGCTGCAGGTGAAGAGCCTGGGTCTTCTGGCCTCCCACCTGGGGCTATCGCCGGCATCGTGATCGGAGTCGTGACTGCAGTAGCTCTGCTAGGAAGCCTGGGCTGCTTTCTGCACCGCAGGAGGACTGCAGGGTATGCCAGCCTTTCTTCTGCTGCTGCTTCAAAGGCTAACTGCCATGCTTGGAGAGGGAAGGAGACTTCCCTGGGGCCTGCTCCTCCTCCTTCGTAAACTTCTGCTTTTCTGCACTAATTCCTGTGGGTCTCTTCCTCCCAGGTCTTCATGCTTCCTGTACCTAGCTGTCTCTTGGACATGCTTATTACTATCCCCATATGGTTTAGAGGGGCTGATATAATTATGTTCCTCTACCCCCCACTAAGGAAACAAATGAGGAAAAAGAAGGCGAAAGTGAGTTTTGTGCTGTCAAACACAGTAGCAAGAGAGGGAGGGAAGGACAGGATAGGAAGAGAACCTAGAAAAAGCAAAAACAATCAAAGTCCTCTTAGAAAAAAAAAATAGCATCTACCTAAAAGGAGAAAGCAGGTGGAAGCAGGTTCAGAGGCAATGATGAAGGACGGACCCAAAGACGCTGGCACGGAGTGGACGTCGGATGGGATCATGGGCAGGTGGAAGGAGGCGGCACTAAGAGGAAAAGCAGTGCCAGCCACGGGCTAAGCGAAACGGAGGAGGCCCAAGGAGTTATCTGCTGACGTTGTCCTTCCTAATTCAAGGGGCAAAGATCCTATGCTTGGGAACAGGAGTCACAGTGTTTGATATTTATTTAGGACAATCGACCAACGCGATCTCACAGAAAACAAACTCTCAACCTCCAGTCACAGTAAGTAAAGCCACTCACCCTGAGAGCCGCTGCATTCTGCCAAATGCCCTCCCCTAGGTGGGAAACCCAGATTCCCAAATCACTCCCCACCTCTGGATTTTCAGAGCAGATCTTCTTGCCCAACCTTCAGCTGGCTTAGGTCCTGACACCCTCCTAACCACAGGCGATGCCCCTGGGGCACAGCCCCAGAGATGCCCCCTCCACCTAGGCGAGGCAGGCCATTTCTCCATCCTCACTCCTCCCCCTCCTGCCTCTATTATGGGTGTGGGCACTCTTTTGGTGAGACTTTCCCTGCCTTGTGGTGCTCTGGGTGCTATGGGCTTCAGCATGCCTTCTTGCCACTGGAGGCTGTTGCTGAGAAACACATGGGCCTGTGAACTGGGAAAAATCAGAAGTGCACTGAGGTCTCTGTGGCTCTGTTCCTGTCCTGCTCTGATACTAACGTCTGGGTCTCAATGAGAGACTCTGAGGGGACATCACCCCACTCCACCCTCCCACCACTTGCCACCTCCTTCAGCTAGAAAGCCCGGCCTTGGAACACCGCCATTCTAAGGCTGTCTGTCTTCATGGATTGGTAACTCTGCTTTTGCATCCCCAGGTCAGGGTCATTCTGACAACTTAACTAACAAGGTAAGTTTCACTGGCTTTGTTTCCTCATGGAACTACTTCTGTGAAGAATTGATTGTTCTGGAAGTACAGAATTTCAGATCAAGTGGGGTTAAAGTTCCTCATTGCAGCAACAAGGAACTATTGACTAAAGTATGCCCGTGAATCTCCCTCAGCAAGAATGGGGTGTGTTGTCCCCAAGCTATGTCTTAATACTGGCTGTGACTCGGTAGCTCTGAGACCTGGTCAAGATAACATCATTTTTGATGTCACCTATAAAATGGACATCCTGACTATTTCAAGAGAAGCTGAAGGAATGAAATGAGGTAACAAATGTAAAGCCTGGCACCATATCCAGCACAGGAGGCAGTGTGACTTTCTCGCTCCTCGACCTTGATCCTGACCCTGCTTTTGCCACAGGATAATTTCTCGTGGCTAGGATGTCTGCTCTTTTAGTTCATAGTAATTTTACAGAATTTTTCTCCTCTAAGTCTTTCAATAGAGTACATATATACTGAAAAGTGCTTCAATCATAAATACCTTATAACAATTCATGTTCCCAAGTTAAATATGCCCATGTAAGCAGCAACCAAGTCAAGAAATGAAACATGTCGTCCTTACCACCAGAAAACCCTCAAGTCACTTCCCTCCAAAGACTAACCACTATGCTAAGTTCCAATGCACTGGGTTAGTTTTGCCTGTTTGTGCTCATATATAAATGAAAAACAAAGTAGCGTGTCCTTTTGTACCTCTTTCATCCAAAATTGTTTTATGAGAATTTGTCCACACTGTCTCAGGCATTTGTGGTTGGTCCATTCTCAGTGCTGTATCATTCCAAGTCACTGTACAGAGCCTATAACCTTCCTCTGGTAACCATCATTCAGAAGATTCACAAGCACAGAGAATGAGTAACAAAAGCCCCTCTTCAAAACCAGAAGTTTCTAAGTGGTGACAGATGTGTTGCTAAATCACACTAGACCAGGTGAGGCCTGGCCTGGACATTTATTTAACTGACCTCTGTTCATGCCTTTCAGACAGATGAAGTTGCATATTCTTCTCTGACCTTCAATGCCCAGGGACCAAAGAAACCAGCTTCATCCGACCCATCACCAACAGCCACAGACACGGTTTATACAGAAGTAAAAAAGAAGTAATGCAAAGGTCCTGCTCACTGCACGGCTGATTTGTTCCAAGTTTCTCATCCTGGACTGGAGGAGATCCCTTTACCCTCAGGGAAAAGGAGAGGAAGCCTCTCTCCTCTCACCCTCTCCTTTCCCTAAAGTGGCACCTCTAGGCTGCCTGGTCAGTACCTCTCTTCAGTGTCAGCAGGTGAAAGGGAACCTCCTGGAGTCTGCAGGAAACCCAGCGCCCTCCTCAATGAAATTTGGCAAAACAAATTTTGGGAGACAGTGGCCAGAACCTCCTGCGCCTCCCCTCCCCAGACCCAGACTTGTTTTAAAGGTCCCTATGCAGAGCACACTCATTCCTTCCCACCTGGTTCTGTGTTCTGAGGGGAACCTGAATTTGCCATAACCTGGAGAGTTCTGACACCCATGTGCCTTAAAAGAAGAGAAAGAAAAAGTAAAACTCAAAGCGCTCTCTCTCCAACACCCAGTATGAACCTATCTTATACAGGAAAGCAAATAATAACCAAACTTGCGGTGGAAATTCTCCACCTTTATCACTGTCAGTGTTGTTTACCCGCAGGAACCGCATCTGGGCATCTTGCTGCTTAGTTAAATACCCACTAGAAATAACTGTGAAAACAGTTTGCCAAGGTACACAGGCGATTCCTAGTGGGAAAAGCACATGTGTTTTGGTAAGGTTGTGGGCTTTACTCAGAAATGCCCACAGAGGGTGAGGTTCAACTCCAGGTGGCAATGGCTCTTTATAGAGGCCATTGCTGGGAGATTGGGGAAGGAATTTTGCATACTATCCTTCACAGATGATTTCAGTTAAAGAATGCCTATTTTAGGGTGTTGAGGGTTTTTCTGAGACATTCTGCCATTTCAAAGTTTGTAGCTGCTTATTTATACAAAGCTGGTTATGTTTACTTAGCCATCTAAGCCAGTCTTGAATGCGAAAGAAGCCACCCAAGCTGCACAGGTCCCCATGACCAGAAACTCCTCCAAGCTTTTTTATCAGGGGCTACAAATAAAAAGGAAGAAGCAGCTTTCCTCACTCATGGTTAGAAATAGGTCTAGCTCGGCTTCCGAGCACCCCAGCCCCATACTCAACCACTATGCTGTTCCACACTTCTGCCTGTGAAGTGTGTCTACTCACCCACCTTCTCAGGAGACCTTTGCTCTGCTGAGGTGTGTGAAGTGAGAACACAAGAGTGTCTCTCAGGTTACTGGCATGTGGAACCTAGAAAGCTGCACTGGAACTGATGATCTTTAGGACATTAGGACAAAGAGAAGGTGCCAGAAAACAAGGGGAGAATTTTAACTGGATCATAGGTTTCCTGGACAGCAGCTGAAATATGCTTTTGCCCATGGGGTCGATGAGTCGCAGTGTAGCAGGACACAAGAGGGTAGGAGGAGAGACAAATGCCTTTCCCACCCAACCTCCTCCATCTCCTTCCACACAGATGGGGTCTCCTTGGGACTGGCCAGAAAGGCTCTATTCTGTATTAATTACATGAAAGAGGGTTAATTGTGAGCTCTCTGTACTCAGATGCCTCCTGAGTACAGAAAGAGGGTTAATTGTGAGCTCTCTGTACTCAGGTGCCTCCTTAAGGGTTTTCTAACCCTGATCCAGACTGTCTACACTTCTCTCATCTACGCTATTCGGTGTTATTTAACTTCGCCTGACTGAGGCTATTCCTGGTCAATGTGTAAAATGTACGCCATATTTATAATAAAAATCATGTATCATGCATCGACATGCCTCACAGTTGCTACTACTTTAGACATGACTTCTTTACTGGGAATCAGGATAAGCCTATTTCTAAGTCTGTAGATACTTGATCCAGGGATCTGGGACTTCGCTAAATTTGTGGCACACCTGCTAACAAAGTGACTCTGTCTAGAAGCAATAGCCACAACTCCAAACTGCCTCCGGAATCTGAAATTGTTATCATGATCAGTTCCCATTTCTGCTTATCTTGTAAGAACAGCTTGCAACCATGGGACAAAAAATACCCCTACCAATTTTAAACAAGGGGAAAAAGGAGGTTTTCCTAAGTTGACAAGTTATGTTTCAGAGCCAGGCCCAGAAGGATGTTCAATGTCCTCAAGGTGACCTCTCACTGCCCAGACTGAGGAGAGTCATAGAGGAGGGACCTTAGGTAGATAGACAATATTCAGAAGCTAGAAGCAGAAGCATGCAGTTTTATTGCAGTTCTGGACCCAAATTGAGTTACACCATGATTAAAAGACAGTAACCAATCAGATGCGACCAATTTGCATTTTCTGTATTTGTTCCTCAGTCCTATAATACTGCCAAAGCCTCGTCCTTGGGGAGACTTGAGCCCTTGTCTGTCTCCTGCCACATGAGCTTGCATTAAACCTTCTCAGAAGCTGGTGTCATGGTCTTGGCTTCTGTGCCATCAGGTAGCAGGCCAAGTTCAAGCAACAATTTCATGAGTAAAAGATCCTCCAAGCTCTGTGTTAGGATAGATCATTCGCCCACACTCCAGTGTGTCAGATGCAGTCAAACCACAGCTACTCTGTCTCCACAGGTCCAGGCCTACAGCAATTTCTCTAGCACTTTCTCTCTTTCTTGTCCCCAGTTCCTTTTTTCTGAATTCAAACACTAATAATTACCAGTGTCTATTCTTGAACTTCACTTGAATCATGCCATAATATGTGCTCTTTTGTGCCTGGCCTCTTGCACTGCCTAATGCTTTGGAGGTTAATCCACAGTGTTTTAGCAGCAATTTGTGCCTTTTTAATTGCTGATTAGTTGTCCATTGTTTGGATTTACTACAGTCCATTTTGCCATTCACATGTTGATGGATATTTTCCACTTTATAGCTATTATGAATAATGCTGCTATCAACATTCAACACTGGTGTAGAGATCTACGTTGATTTCTCTGGGAGCTTTTCAAAATAGACAAGCCCATGTCTCCAGGCATACTATGTCACCTTCTTCAGGGATGGTCTAGAGATGCCCATAGCATCTCTAGAAAAAAAAAAAAGTCCCATAAGTAATTTTGATTATACTCTTAGGTATGAACCACTGCTTTTAGACTCAAGTCCTATTACAGTGGATGTTGTCCAACCCAGCTGTACATTAAAAGTATCTGAGAAGCTTTAAAAAATTAATACCTGTGTTCCAGTTTATAACAAATTAGAATCTGTAGGTGGGGCCTGAGTACCAGTATCTAAAATTCCCTCTTTCTAATATGTAGCCACATTTCCCTTTGGATTTCTTTCCTTGTGGCATTTATCAAGTTTAAAAGCTTCTGTACTGCAAAAGAGTGACCAATCAAACAAAAAGATACACTACTGAATGAGAGAAAATATCTACACATCATATAGCTGACAAGATCTACAAAGAAGTCACACAACTCCACTAAGGGAAAACAAAGAACCCAGCCAAAAAATGGGCAGAAGAGCTTAATAAACACTTCTCCAGAGAAGAAATACGGATGACCAACAGGTACATGAAAAACAGTTCTACATTACTGTCATTAAGGAAATACTAAACAACTCCTCCAGTGAGAACGGCCCGTATCAAAAGTACTAGAAACAGCAAAGGATGGTGGCAAGGATGTGGAGAAAAAGGAGCTTACACTGTTGATGGGAATGTACTCTGGTCCATCCCCCATGTAAAACAGTGTGGATGTGCCTCGAAACACTAAAAATAGATATACCATATGATCCAGCAATCCTACTGTGGGAGAATCTACCTGAATCCAAAATCACTAATTCAAAGGGGTTTGTGTGTTCCTATGGTCACTGCAGCAGTATTTACAAATAGCCAAGTTATGGAAACAATCTAAATACCCATTGACAGAGCAGTGGATTACAAAGATATGGTATATAACACGGTGGAATACTACTCAGCTATTAAAAAGAAAGATAAATTCTTGCTTTGTCACAATTTGTGACAACGTGGATAGAACTAGAAGGGATTATACTAAGTAAAATAAGTCAGAAGAGAAAGACAAACACCAGGTGATTTCACTCTCATATGCAATATTGAGGGGGGGGGGAAGGAACAGACAAAACTAAACCAAAATAAGCCCTAGAAATATGACTGCTGCTATGAAAGGGAGAGAAGAGGGAGGTGGCAACAAACAGAGGAGAGGGCCCAATGGCAAGGGTAGAGGACTAAGGATGCCTTGAAGGTGAGGGTGGTGTGGTAACATACATCTGAGGAAGGTGACTACTCCTCCAAATCATATACAGTGTTGTAAACCAAACCAATGTTATCTCAAGAAAAAGTCTCCCCACCACCAGAGTCTTTAAGAAAGAGGATCCAAGGCAAAGGGCAGAGAAGAGGGAGAAAGGCATGCAGGTGTACACCAGCTGAGCTTCCACACATTCCTCACATGACTTCACAGGGGCCAGCAGAAGAGCACATATCCTAGAATCAGGCTGACCCCGGGTGCTAGAGTTCCCACTCCTCAGGCCCTACCGTGAGACCTCAAGCAAACTACACATGCTTCTTTGTCTCAAGTTCTTTACCTACAAAAAAAAAACTGGAATTTTGACAAGACATACTTTTCAGTATTCAGTAAGTTATTCATATGTAAAGCAGTTAGAAGGCAGCTGGTGAATGAAAAACGTTAGATCTTAGTAACGGTGGCTGTCCCTGCCCACACCACCACACATTTGAAAACCTCATCTAATTTCTGTTTGTTGATAGTTTCTCTTTGTTATACAGTATACTTGAAAAGTTATCTCTGTAACCCTGGCTAGGGCCTAAGGTCATGTCCACAGGCAGTGACTGGACAACCCTTCTTTCAGGCACCTGGGGAAGGACGGCCAAAGCCTCTGTCTGCCCCTCTATTCCCCTATGGACTACACTGTCAGGTCCTATAGTTCTTTGGTTTCCTTGTTTCCACCGCCCCTGCCACTCTGTTGCAGGGATGTGCACTCTTCATGTGCTTTCTGATCCCTTCCAGGTGGGTGTGCCAATACTTTCGTTCCGTATCACCTCACTGCTGTATGCAAACAGCCTATGCATCACTTACCCTGCAATTAATCAAAGGTGAATGGAGCTGAATTTCTAGACAGTGTTCTCATGTCTATTTGTGAGAAGTAGAAATCTCTAAAAAAGCAAGAAGCCAGTAAGATAGTAGTGAAATATGGCCCATCGAATATGACCCCAACTTTCAGAAAATATATGTGCAATTAGCTACCCTCTCACATGGGGTTCAGAAACTGCCGAGGCAGAACAGAAGGCATGCATGAGAGGCAGGGAGCCCAGCTGCATGTTAATTTTGGCTTTACAAACTTCAGGGTTCCTTTTTCCCCCACTAGTAGACAACCTTTCTTCCCACCACCCCACGTCCAACCACAAAGAGAGGAACAGCATATGAAGATCCAGCTCCTTAGAACTGAGAAAACACAAGATCCCAGACAGTTACAGAGTCTGGAGATGAGGTAGGAAGATCACAAGCAAGTCTCTCTGATCAATAACTCTGTACAAAGTGCCCTCTGCCCTGAGCAGCAACATAGGGCTGCAACATGACCCTGGTCTCCCAGGAGCAGGAAGCACCGGTAGAACATTAACTACCGAGGAGCAGATGGAAGTGGAGCCCTCTGAAACACCTCTCCCCACCTCTTCTCCCAACTACCCTCTAAAACTACCAAAGCGATGTCCCCAGGCCTATAACCTGATCACTAGTTCTGTATGCACAAATAAATAAATCTTAAAAAAAAAAAAAAAAAAGTGGCAGAGGGAATCACAAAGCAGAAATGGAACAGTGGAGAGAACACACTAAGGAGAGAAACATGTTCATGCTTTGTTTAAAGGTCAAAGTCTCCTGAGCCATGCCACTCCCCTATCACTGCCTGGCTCTCTGGGACCAGGCTGTGAACAGTTTGCTACTACCAAGAATTTGAGGAGAAAGTGAAAAGCAGGGAAACAGTAGGTGCATATGCTAGCAGAGGAGTGTGAAGAAGAGTAAAATTGAAAAATAAAACAGTAAATTTCATTATAAATACAGGGATGGAAGAAATAAGTAAATTATGATGAAGCAGGTAATAGGCCAACGACCCCACTGAAATGCCAACATTCAGCCCTGCCTGCTCCTGGGGTGAGGTAAAATGGGTGTGGAAAATGGACAGAAAGAGACACTAAATTCTGCCATTTCCCTATAAATCCAAGGAAAAGTTTATACTTTACAGTTTGGACTTTGCTCATTCATTGTCTACATTAAACAGAGAAATCTGGTTAATGTCAAGACCAACTATAAAACTTACCTACCAGTAAACTAAAAAATTAAAGCGCAAGGGAAGCCCACGGGGATTACAACTGAGATGGAAAAATGATGTGAAGGCACAAAATGACATAAAAATAAACATGATTTTTTTAAAGTTTCCAAGGGGTAAAGGAAGGAGATGGTAATGATGGGGTGAGGAGTGACTGGTTATGAGTATGGGGTTTCTTGTTGGGGTGAGGAGAATGTTCTTAAATTGATTGTGGAGATGGCGACCTAGGCCTGAAGAACAAATTAAACTGATAGAAAAATGAAGAGGTATGACAAGAATGTTCTCTGCAGACAAAGAGTACAAAGGCACAGGTGCAATGGAAAGCAGCTGCATTTCAGGTGTGAAAGTAGCTTGATGTTTGTACAGAACAAAGTACAAAGAGGGGGCAAGACTGACACAGATGGAGCCAGAGAAGGCTGAGGTACTTCAGATTTACTAACATGACAAGAAAAAGTAGAGCCACGCCGAAGAGCATCCTGAGAAT